CTGGGACAGGACGTGACCTCAGGCTTCAGCAGAGTGGGTCACATCGCACACATGAACCTGAGGGAGCACCAGCTGCCCTACAGGAACCTCATCGGTGAGGCTTACACTTAGCACAAGCCATCTTCTTTTTAGGTTACTGTTCATTAAAAATCCTACATCTCAGTTCCAACCTACCTAATAAACATCTCAGTGACTTTGTATTGTAAGTTGAATAATTTTGTCTTGCAGGTCAAGTCATTATGGATAAAAACCCAGGGGTGACCTGTGTGGTCAATAAAACAAACACCATAGATTCCACTTACAGAAACTTCAAGATGGAGGTGCTGGCTGGAGAGGAGAACATGGTGGCAAAAGTAGGTCAGAGTCATGTGATGGGTCATTGTAAATAAAGTGTATTACATTATCAACATTACTTGCTATAGGTGAAAGAGAATGGTGTCACATATGAGTTTGACTTTTCGCGGGTTTATTGGAACCCTCGGCTGAGCACTGAACACCAGCGGATCGTGCAGCAGGTGAAACCAGGAGACACCGTGTTTGATGTGTTCGCTGGCGTGGGACCCTTTGCCATTCCAGCTGCTCGCTGTGGTGCCAATGTTTTGGCTAATGATCTAAATCCTGAGTCCTACAGATGGCTAGAGCATAACTGTAAACTCAACAAAGTGGAGAACAGAGTGAGAACATTTAACCTGGACGGTCGTGCGTTCATCCAGGGCCCTTTGCGACAGGAGCTGCCTGCACTGCTGAAGCAGAAGGTGGCTATACATGTAGTGATGAACCTGCCTGCTCTGGCTATAGACTTCCTCGATGCTTTCAGAGTTCTGCTGCAGCACGAGCCCCCTAGTGACTCACAGCTGCCCACAGTGCATTGCTACGGCTTCTCTAAAGATGACGACCCAGCCCGGGACGTCACGCAGAGGGCTTCTGAGGCTGTTGGATTCTCACTGGAAAACAGGAGCTCAGTGCATTTTGTGCGGAACGTGGCACCAAACAAAGACATGATGTGTGTGAGTTTCAGTATTCCCAAACAGGTCCTATACAACAGCGAGCCCACACTCACAGGTAAGGAGGATACAGCTGTAAGTCCTTTACAAATATTACTAAAATTCAATGTAATATGTAGTTCTTATTTCAGAGTGTGCAAATGAACCAGCTACAAAGAAACAGAAATGTGAAGAGGCTGCTCAAACAACATAATGGCACTGGATTCTGAATGCCTTTTTTTAAAAACAAAAACTGATGTTTTTTTTACATTTGGATATTGTGGATGTTCCTGAGCAAATTACAGGTTAATCATCTGTTCATTAAACCATTTACTTAAGTGACACCTCGTTAGAGGTGGTAAAAATTTATAAAAATCATCTGCTTTTTTTGGCATTTCTCAAATAACTCAGGTCACTGTTCAAATGTCATTTTTAATTTTGTGAACGGAATTGCCAAACCGGTGACCAAAACGGCTTTCACATCTACCGTGTAAGCTCCATACTTCAGGTTAATGTATTACTCATTAATAAATGGTATAAGATACAGTATATACTAACAACAGGATTGCTTTATATGAAAGTCAACAGGCAAATTTTGACTTTTATTCATTAAGTGATATTGAGACGATTGTTGAGAAAAATGATTAATCTTTGGATATCTGTGGATAACTGATTAAAAATACTTTTAAAATGTAAATTTTTACCCCAGCAAAGTGTTTAATTTAATTATATAATTGTCAGACAGTAAAGTTTGGCTGAAAATTTCAAATTTAAATCATGTAGTAGCTACAGTATACTGCCATTTAAAGTTATACTGGGAAACTGGAACATGTCACACTTTTATATGCCCATGTCCATCCCTCGAACAGTGCACAATGGAAAGGGATATGAGTTGCTTCCATAGAGATTTGGACCTTGTCACACCTTGAAATATATATATATTTTTTTTTATTAAATCAACATGATTATAAAATAAAGCTTACGATTAAGATTTCAGCCCAACAAAATTATAAGGTCATTGAAAATCATGTCTGCTGTTTGGGTGTGAGCGTATATCAAAGAGCCATACTGCTCAAAGATTCTATATTCTTCCTGAATACACAGTAGTAGTTTGTAGGAAAACTAAAGAGTACTTGGAGCACACTTGTGTCACACTCTCCTTTGATTGAGCAAGAATTAGAGTAATTGAATAATAATCAGTTAACATCCTTAGAGACATAGTAATAGTAATTCATAGTAATTGCAATAGCATAGTAATTCTTTTCACAAGAAATTTATTTGTATTAAAAACATTTTGTACATACAGTAACTCAAAAAACTGAGTTGCGTTACTTTAAATATCACCTTTTCAGATAGGAGTCCTATTTGTGCCCAGGTCAGATCCTGAGCAGGTCTCTATGGTCTATAGAAAAAATAGCCCACTGAAGGCATCCTGGATGGCCCGGTGACATGCTAGCGCTGTGGTGTACCCTCCGGCTGTGTCCTGGGGCTGAGCGCCGCGCACATGGTTCAGATACCTGCAAAACAGAGCTCTGGTCAGTCAGCTGTCTGCTACACAGGAGGGAGTGCAGTGAGAGCCACCGCCCACTGAACTTCCTCAGAGTAATGTGAGTCCAAGTTCATTCCCCTCTAAATCTACCCCAGCTCTGTTTTCTCTGGCTCTGCTCTGGCCTCAGAGCACATCAGCTGCGACAGACGGAGCGCAGAACAGTGGAACACCTTATGTCGAAAAGCCCCACCATTGCAGCTCTATTAAAGTGTTGTTGGTGTCCTTTAGTTTAAGTGCTTACAGATGTGTGCTGCCAAAGCCTCTCTTCAGATTCTTAAGCAAAGACAAAACTGTTTATTTTTACTTTGAGTCACAGACAGAAAAACATTGGAGCTGCTAATTCATGTCTGCACAGTTCTGATGGACGCCCTCCTCTGAAGGGCTTGCCATACCACAAACATGTCAGACCTGGTTCAGTGTGAAGGCCTTTTACTACAGATTATCAGCATATATATGGGAAGAGGCCACAGTATTTTCTGTTTTTTCTTGAGGCCCTCAAAACTAAAAGTTAAATATTCTCTATAACTAATGTTTTCAGAAGAATCTTTATTGGCAAGAGTTTAATAGAATACAATTTACAAATAAAAATGTCATCAGTCAATTTGCAATTAGAAAATCCATAGCCACAGTTATTAGATTGTGTAAATAAAATACTCATTTTCTTTACATCGTTAAAAACTTGTATTTAACATCTGTATAGACTTCAAATGTACAGTGTGAACTGAATTTTAAAACCGCAACTCTAATCACAACATATATATTTTCTCCCAAATTCTTGGCCATTTTGGTTTATTTGTATAAAACTGTTTCAGGAAAAACAATCACAGAATATGAAAGATGGAAAGTACCCTTATGAGCACAAGCAAAGCAGTGTACATTGAAAAATTAAACAATATGTTAAACAAGAAACCTCAGCGATAACACATTTGTTTACCACTGAGTCTGTGGTCGATTGAAGACCCAGCTAACAGAAGGCTCTAACTCTCTCAAGTGCTGTGAAACTTCAAAGTGAAAGAGAGAGGAGGGCTGCACCACAGTAACCCTAGCCCTGTGGGAGGCCCAAGAGACACAAGGCAAAAATACAGAGACCACTGCTCTGGCAATGAGACAACCAATGAAAATATCCAAAATATCTGGGAAAATAAAAGGTTGTAGAAGAAGGAAAGTGTTGCGGTTGAGAAAGCAATGAGGTATTTGACACAGAAAACCCACTGTGCACCAACAGCAGTTTAAGCATAAGCCAGTGATTAATATTAACTTCATTAGGGTGCGCTGCATAGCCCCGTCCTTCAGAGCACTTCACAGGCCTCCTCAGATGGCTTCCTGCTGCAGATGAGTGCTGCCTATTGATTATATTGTACTGTGCCTTTTTAATGGTGAAAAAAGTGGGCTATTTACAGCCTGGCTAAGTCTGCTCTTCCTGCTAATCTAATCCCCAAGCTACTCATGTGGTCATTCCTTCCAAGAAAGCTGAGAGGCCTGTGTAACCTTATACCTGCCTGCCCCAGAGGAGCGTGGGGGTGGGAGGCGTGGTGTGTGAGCTGAAATCACCTTTGGGTATCATCATCATTGTAGAGCCACTTCTCTGTCTGGCCTGTGCTCACCTAACACAGTGGTTAGTATAGTCATGCTCCATTACTTCTGCTGGTTTGTCTTCCTGTAAGTCCATTTTGAGAAGAAACAAGCGCACAAGGAAAAACAATAAATCTGACATTTTTTGGTCACCTGCCTGCTTTTGAAAGTGTATAGTTACAATAAATGGCCCATAATAAAAAGCTATATAAAATAAGTACTTTATTGTGTGTGTTTTTGTTCTAAGCAGAAACTAATTGAAAAAAGCTGGACAGCTGTAATAATCTGAGGTCATTTACTGTGTGAGGATCACACCATATGTTTTTAAATACTTTTTTAACTACATTTATTTGATGAAAAACGAATGTCTAGCCCTGAATACACTGTACAGAAAGATCTAGAGACAATGAAGGCAACAAAAACCAACCAACACTACAGATGCACCGCTGTCACAGAATTCAAAAAGGAGAGACAAAAGCCAAACAGCAAAATACACAACACATGCGACACTGACTGTCCATATCATTCAGGAAAATATAGAGCAAAGAGCAAGACACTTTGTTAACTAAACCCAAATTAAAAAGTGGTAACAAGTAGTAAAAAATTCATAAATCTGACAAATCTAATAAAGCATAAAATAAATATATTAAATAATAAACTAAGGTAGTAAGAATATTTATTACTAGTGTATCCATATATAAAGCAAAATTTATTGTATCAAATTAAATGTGTTACACACCATAATATTATTATTAATAGTATTTTCAAGAACATTTATTGAATATGTTCAGTTCTACTGATTACACTACAGTATACATTACTTTTACTCATAGGTCATTATGTTTGTGTGAACAATACACCTCAGTACTCCACATAACTAAAACTACTAGAAGCACACATTTAGTCTAGTTTAACCAAGGAGTTGTGGCTGCTGTTAGCACTCTCTCCCCATCACCTCCTCCCTCTGCTTTGTTCAGTGCCTGAAACCCAAGCCGCTCGAGTCGGTAACATCTTTCACTCCCCCGGCCCCACCGGAGCATTAGCCGACACTTGATCCAGGCCTTTTCAAAGCTGGGTATTATTGGGTAAATATGGGTCACTCTGGACGGGCCCATTATGTAGCTGAGGGGGGTGCGGGTCATGAACACATGAATGACAGTGTGACAGTGTTCGTCTCTGGGGAATATGACAGGGGCTTTCCAAAAGAGTAGACAGAAGAATAGCTTTTGTTAGAGCTGAGTTTCTCATCCCACAGTGGGATGCTCAGGTACAGCTAAAGGCAGGAGGTGTACACAGTTAGCGTACTGTCTATTACAAGTGCTAACCTCCAGTAGAAAAGATGCGCCTTTCTCTGCTCGAGGGCCTAAAGTGGAGACAGTTGGCTGACATTTAACTACATAATTTTTTTATTATTATTAATTACTATAATTATAATTATGGAAATTTGAGTAAATTTCAGGACACAGAAAATCACTGTGTTCTGTATCCATATAAACACATCTTGCTGAACTTGATTGGCATTTATTATACACATTTCAAACTGAGCTACACTAGCAGTTGCAGATGTGAATCATATTATTGGCTTGGCCTTACGTATAATGTATGCTGATAAATGTCAAAACACTTTTTTCTTGTCTGCCCCTGAAAGCATCACTGTGAAAAAAACAGACACTTTCTCCTCTCCACATTCACATTACATCAGTGTGTGGACATGAGGGACTGACTGTGGGGCTGTCTTTGGGCTGACAAGGGGAAAACCAGAGCTTCGTGTCCAGACAAGTTGTGTCGGCTTCAAATGGATCGGGAAAAGGCTGGGAAAAGTTGAAAAGTGAAGTCTGTGCTCTATGAGAACAAAGCCCAAGATAGCAAGAACATCTTCATGAAGAGAAGCATGTAGCGGACCCTCCACCAGAAAAGTTACACAGTACAGCTTTAACAAAAGCCCCAAGCATTTCACTAACGCCTGGTGTGTTTTTGCCAATGCAGCTGACAGGGGTAGACTACACGTGCTCCATAATTCAGAAATCCAGGCCCAAGCTGCTGTATCCCAATGAGTGTCCGGAAGTCTTCCTTTAGCACCGGGCTCCACCAGAGGGACTCCGGGCCTGGGAATGATGGGGGCTGAGGGTGACGAACCACACACCTGTCAGATGATTTGTCATTATACAGGGGTCAGGACTCAGCTGTTCCGTCCTAATCACCAGTCCTACCCACACTGCCCCAAACCCACTCGCTCGTCAACAACACCCCCACATTCCTGCGTGGGCTCCGGTTACACACAGAACCGCCTCCACCACCCATTCAATCTGCCCCCGGGATAATTTGCTCAACACATAAACATTGCTTTATGTGTTTTTTAGACTCTCCATTAGTAATATGAAAGTAATGCTGCTCAATGGGTATGGGACAGTTATTTAGGTAATAGTATGTCCTCCATATACCTGAAGTTTGTAGTATATAGCTGAGATTTTTTCATTACTTATTTCTACTTTATTTTTACTTTTACATACATTTTGTATAATTACGCCTTATTTGCCTCTTGCCATTTTTGCTACTTATTTAGAATTTATTATTACAATTTATATTCAATTTATTACTTTTTTTCTTTATTATTATCATATATTGTGATGTGTGAGCTACTGTGTCCAAGTAATTTCCCTTGTGGATCAATAAAGTTTGTCTAAGTCTAAGTTTAGACTACTATAAACATGTTCTGAAATTTCTGGGGGGGTTGTATTACTATAATGTAAATGTTTATGTTAATGCTCATATCGTAAATCATAATTAAAATACTTGAGCAGAATAGAATTGTTTCCAAAGTCGTGCTGCCCTATTTTGAAGGAGCAGTACAGACAATCCAGGGTACAAGAAAAAAAGTCTATAAACACTAAAAACAAGCCATTCATCATTGGTTTATTTGACTGAATGCTGCTTCAGTCCCGCAGAGAAAGAGAGAATTTTCCCACTGGCTTTGGTGCGGCGGGCTGAGCTTCAGTGAGGACAGGCCCCTGCAGACAAGCCTGACTCTCACAGGTATACTATATCTGTCAACAGAACAGCCTCATCAGCACAGGTCAAAGGTCACACTGCTTCCTCTGAGACCACAGCACTGTCTATTCTACAGCATCATGGCACTGGCAGGGCCTATCAGAGTGCCTCAGAGCTGCTGCAGGGAACATGAGCCAAACAGATTCTCAATGAGGATTTGTGAAATATGGTCAGAGGCTTGTGACGCTCCTGTAATGCTGTCTATTGTGTCACGTGTGAGTGCACTCTTCACCTGTCACCCCTCATCTGCTGCTGGGCTCACCGGCACCTACCACAAAAATCTAATCTTGATATTAATAATTTATAGGCAGTAATTGTATGACTTACATTTTTTACATTTAGTTACAT